AATATTGAAATTACAGTGTACAATGATTTTAATTGACTGTACTGGATCTGATACATGTATGCTGAAATATATATATATATATATATATATATATTAGGGATGTCAACGAATAGTCGACTATTCGACCATCATTCGAATGGACCGACAATCGAATAACGAAACGACATTCGAATAAATAAATTCAATAAAAGAGTGATAAAGAGTTGGAATTCTCATCCTAAAATTGAGAAACCGTCTTCCCTCACACACAGTCGATAAGATAATTTTCCTCATTAAAAACTGCTGACTTTACATGTAGAAAGTACAGTGATTAGAAACACTTCACTTCCGCGTGAATTAGTGTCAATTAATGTGTTGTTTCCATAATAAAATTATCTCGTCATACTGCGCTTTCTTTGTAAAACTATTAATTGGACTTGATCTCATACCATGTACCCATTATAGCCGTGACATGTTTGGACACTACGATAATTATTATAAAATTGATATTCTTTTACATATTTTAAAGACATTTTGATAATTGGTACAAAAAGTATATTCAAATATTTAACATTATCAAGGTCACCGTATGTGCCCCCCCCCCCCCCATCATTTTAATAAGCTTTAAAAAAATATATCACACAGTCATTTTTTATGCTTCCTAAAAAAACGATTTTACAGACCAATTTATGAACATGATTGACGGTGAAATCCTACTTTTTGGAGAAATTAACGGTCTATATTGAGTAAATATAAACACGCTATCCACATTTTAAGTCCATGTGAACATCTGTGTGTAACATTTTATGTAACTTTTTAATCAATTTAAAAAAAGGGGGATTTGGGATTAAATATGTGATGTACCAGTGAAGTTTGAAATAAATTTTTAGTTTCCGAAAAAGTTTCGAATATATTCGACTGTCGTTCGAATAATGCAATCGAATATTCGACTAAAGAAAATAAATATTTTGACATCCCTAATATATATATATATATATATATATATATATATATATATATATATATATATATATATATATATATATATATATATATATATATTTAATGACTGATCTAAAATTGTCATGTGAAAGTGCTGCTATGGATGAAAAAATCAAACAAGGGGACATTGATTTGATCTATGCTTCACCAGAGGCACTGGTTGGGGATACAGAATAGAGGGCAGCATTTAAAAAGCTGAACGTTACACTTATAGTGGTGGATGAATTTCACACAATATACACATGTTAATTTTTTTTTTTAAAATATTTTGTGCACTAAATGAGAAAATGAACCCCAACCATTCTCCTTGGGAAAAAAAATCTGAAATTCAACATCAGGCCTGTAAAGAGACATTGGCTGCAACTTTTCAATTTGAAATACACAATCAATGGTAACTTTTTTCAATAGATAGTGATTTAATAGGTTCAGAGACTAGGGGTTGCATAAATTCCCATCAGATGTTCTTTCTATACTTGCACTGTTCACTTGAACGCACACTGTTTGGCAGTATAACTGAGCCTTCCCAAGTCATTGTGCCCCACAATTTTTTCTTCATAAATCAAATAAAAATAGACTTAGCCCCCTCCCCCTTCTTTTCCCAATTTTAACTTGAGCAATTTAAGTAATTTATTATTCCAACAGTTTAAGCAAGAGAGTCATATTTTTGAAGAGTCAAATCATTTTGCTTCTTTCGCAATATATTTAGACAGTCTAAATGTAATTTACCCATAACCTAGCAAAATTTAAAATGCATTATTTATTTCTAGGGGTTTACAGTCGGACAACAGAAAGGAAGCATTTAGAGGCTGGTTTGCACAATTAGGAGGACTGCGTACTTTCTACCCCAATGCTCCACTTTTGGCCCTGAGTGCTACATGCTCTTTAAAAATTAGAAAGAAGACCGTGAAATTTTTTTTTATTTGGATGACCCTGCCGAAATCACCCTTTCATCAAATTAGTCAAACATAAAACTTATTGTGAAAAAAGTGTCCAATTCTATTGAGACAGCTTTAATATGGCTAATTGATGGACTCGTATCACTTAAAGAGCAATTCCCCAAGTGTCTAGTGTATTGTAATTCAATTGGAGATGCTTCAGTAATATACCAGTACATTATTACAGAATGTCCTGATTCCACCAATTATGTGGATGTTTCACTCGGAATCGTCGCAAAAGACCAAAGACAGGATCATTTCCGATTTTGGGAATTCTAACAGTGAACTGCGATGATTAGTAATAGCCACAAGTGCTCTGGGCATGGGAGTGAATGTTCAAGGATTTCATTCACTTGTGCTGTATGGACTTCCACCGACGATGGTAGACTTGATCCAAGAAATAGGTCGTATAGGTAGGGACAGTATGCCATCATGTGCAGTATTAATACACAATTCCTACAATGTGCACAACATTGATTTTGATGTAAAAAGTGTCCTTCGCGTCAACACTTGCAGACGACTTTCCATAATGAAATAATTTCTGAAAGACTCGGAACTTAAAGTAATTCGTGAGGAAATGGAAAGACATACTTGTTGTGACATATGTGAAAGGAAGTGCAACTGTTGCGAATGTCTTCCGTCACCATTTGAAATACTTCTGAAAAGTGAAACCGAACATGAGGAAGATAATGAACATGAGACAGATTCTGAATCTGAGGTTACAGATGTGGAAAGCTCGGATGATTTGGAAGACTTTTGACTTTCAACACTTGTTGAACTGTTTTACAGGATTAGATTAAACAAGAAGTATGTGAGCGAATAATGAGTAATCAATATTTATGCTATGTGTACAAATTTATGAATTTCAAAATATGTATGATAAAAATTAAAAAAAAATCTGTTGACCTTTCATTAAATACTTTATATGACATATATAAAAGATGACAATATCATACAGTTTGTTACGATAATACACATGTATTCGTATTTTATCAACATAATGGTAAGAGTAGTACTTCAAAAGTTACTGTCATTGCTCTTAAGACCGCAGGAACTGCATAAGCAAAGATTCTGTGAAAACCAAGTTAATTAGTTAAATTGATCCAATTTATAACTTGAGAAATCAAATTACACATAAAGATAAATTACACAATCAATGTATTGCAGATAAAGCCTTTAGAAATCAAAATTAAATTCTGAGTCAGGCTATAAAAAATACTTTTAAGCATACACATGTAGACATTTAAAAATGAGTATCACGAAGTCTGCAATATGGTGATGCTGGGTTATGTCTTTGGATCATGGTTGAAAGTTGACTCGCACTTTTCTTGAAAGGTTTCGCTCTGCAATTAAGTTTTTACTTATTATTTCTTCTTCACTCGAGATAACATTTTTGTCAAGGAGGTCTTTCAAAACAATCTGCACATCAGCTTCATAGTATTGCTTATTTTTTTTTTCCGCGAGTTTGGTCATTTCTACAAGAAGTGGGTATTCCTTTTAATGTTTAAGGATACTTTCCTTTGTCTGGTGACCCTTGCATGCAGATTTACTGTCTCTATTGAGCATCTCTAGGTACTCGTCCAATGCAATATTGTTATTTGTTCCTCCTTGCACATTCACAAAACGATTTGCAATCAAACGCTCTGTTTGCTGAAATTTAACCCGGAGACAAGTGATGTTAAGTGTATTGAGACAATTGTATACTTAGTTTTTCCAGTTTTGTGGTACAAAGGAAGTTCATATTTCGCGGATCTCACACAGCGTTCTCCATCACCCATGTTCACTGCATCATCTAGGTTCCTGTGTAACAAAGTTAATTTAAAAAGCATACTGTTGAGTCCTTCAGTTTTCTTTTTTCTTTGCCCCGAGTTTACCTTCAAGTTGTGTTCTTTCACTTCATGAGCTTTTAGGCCAACATTTTTTTATTAAATAATTTACGGGAAATTTTTTTGAAAAATTGGGTCGGGGGATAAATAGAAATAAAAATAAAACTCCATATTTTACGCAGTCGACTAAAAAAATAAAAATAAAATTGGAAAAAGTGTCTGATTTTTTTATTTTCAATTATTCGATAAAAATTGCCAAATATATAGTGTGGAGCTTAAAATATGATAACTGCGACACAAAAATTTAAGTAGACTTATTAAACCCTTATGAGAAATGGGGGACTTCTAAGGAACTTCTTATCAAAATATTCATCATCATCATGATTAAAACAAAATGACCAAAGAAAAAAAGTTTATAATGAGAACCTCACTATGCTCAAAGTACTGAAAAAAAAACCATGTACCAACAAATCAAAAATGGAAAACATTGTTATAAAGAGAATCTCAATATAATATAAAACCCAGAATCATGATTTAAACCTGTATTTTACAATACAGCATATGTTAATGCATATGAACAAACTTCTGAAAGCTTGAAAGTATTAACACATTAAATACCGTTTCGTTTGCAGTTTCCCTATATATCTATTCTAAAACTATTTAACACACAACAAAATACATATGAGTTTCCAGTCTGTGCAGTGCCGCAAATGATGTTACAAGTTTGAAAACATTTCGTGGATATACATGCAAGTTAGATACCTCACATTTTATTCTTCACAAAATTCGAACGTCTATTTTCGATTTCCATTCATTTATCACATTCGTCAAAGGTATCAAAATTGTAAAAGAGAACTACTGCATACGGTACCCACCGCGAAAGTGACAGTCCTGTCAGAATATTATGATGACCATTTCTTTTGTTTTCTTTTTAACTCCGACGTAAATACGTCATCGGACAAACTCTAATTGATTTTCCTGTTAGCTACATGTATGGTTGACCTGGAAAATCTATCGTGTATAAGGACAAAGTATTCTCAACTTTCTTAAAATTTGACATTTCTGCATCCATGTTGGCACGTTTTATACACTTCCGAAACAGTTGATAACAAACGTCAATTGACTGGATGATAATAAGGGCTTCTAATTAAGCAGCCAATCAGAATTGCCAACTTATTTGCACATTATTTTATTTTCTTGGTGCATTTGCATTTACGATCGGCGGGAAATTCAAAAATAAAATCAAAAACATGGACTTTTATTTTTATTTGGTTTTAGATAAATTGCAGTCGGCACTCCCGTAAATCATTTTATTAAAAAATGTTGGCCTTAGAGATCCTATGCAAGCATAACTTCTGTCATAAAAATGACAATGAAATCTCTCATTCTGACGACATGACACCCAATAGTTTTCATCATGATCAGGATTTTGTAGTACTTCCCTCAAGGAAGAGAAAATGTCATCTTCATTTTCAAAGAATTCATCTCTTAGAGAATTGTACTGCAGTTTTCATTCAACCAGTTAATCTTTTCTTCACTGCTCATTTGCATAATATTGTCTTGAAATGGGATTTCTGAATCCAGATCTTCAAGATGAAAATGTCTTTAAAAATGCACAATGCACAAAGCATCGAGGACAGTGTAATAAAGTTGCTTATAAGGTCTATAAGAATTCTTCACGTGTCCTTTTACACTTCTCACATTCAAAAGGTTTCTGTAGTAATACATAGTGCAAGGATCACGTCCACTTCCTGTGTCTCATGTCAGTTTGTGGATAGCCTGAAATATCAAGTAAAACCTCAAATTTTGATGATTCATAATCAAGATATTTAATTTATTATACATTATACATTTGACTGCATTTCGGGCTTTTGTCCTTTACTCATTTAAAATTTAATTCCTCTATTAAAAGATACCTAAGTACATGTTCCTACAGAAAACATTATCATGAAAAAGATTTTACATAGTCATGAAGACAAGCAAGCCAATGCTAACCAACAAAAGCCTTACAGGCCACTTGAAAACTTTTTAAAAAGTTCTTTCAACAATAACAATAGCCAATACCTCTATAAAGTTCATAAGACGGTGGAAGTCTTCAATCTTAGAGATGAAACCCTCCAATCTCTCTGTAGGCGAATCTCCATTTTTCATTGCATACTGGGCACCATTAACCCTTTCATCTGTGAGCCTGTCACCTTTATGAAAATGGAAATGTCACCTTTATGAATTTAGAAATAATGATGAACAATAAATATAGAAAGAAAACCACGTAAAATGTCATTATCAAAGGAACATATATACAGGTAAATACCTCCGAAAAACATTGGTTCTACTATATCTCCATCTCTCTTTGAAAAAAATGAGTTTGACATGGTTTTCATTAGATGAATCATTTCTTGTGTTTTGTTCTCATTACAATCGATGAGTCCTAGAGGGTACTACAATTCAAAATCTTTAGTATCAATTCTTTAGAAATCAGAAAAATTCTAATGAATTCAAATGTTTTAGCCAAATACATGTACATTTGAACCTTGTATATCTCAAACTCTCGAATACCATTGATATGTCTTATTGATTTGAAATTCCAGAGTAAGGAATTGATCCTTACCACTGCAAGAAATGGAGACCTGTTCCTTTTGGTGACACCGTATAAACGGATGTCCAATGTCACGGTAGGTGCTGGCACGAAAAAGATCCCGCATGAAGGCCGTAAGTGCCAAGTACAGGTCTAAATTTGCAGCCCTCCACTGCCAAGTTGTCAAATATGTTCAACTTCTAATCTCTCTACTAATTTTAAAACATGCATAATTACAGACTTATAGAATTAGTAAATGAGCAATACCTGTGTTGTTTTAAGTCCTGCAAACTGGGTGTATTTATGCTTCAGGTGTTTTGGGTATATGTCCTGAAAACAATCTCTCAGTTTTGGGTGATGCTTGATTAATGTTGTCCTGTAACAAAATACACACTGTAAATTTATCGTTACTTTTATATGGTCACATTTTACAAATGAATGATGGTACTACACTATGCTATTTTCCTTTTTACATTGTAATTTACATCATAATACTCATACCTATAAGATGGCAGTATGTTTTGATAGTAAGAGAGGACAGGAACTTTGAAGTTCATAATAGAAATTTTCCCATGAAAACTTTAGAAAATCATTATGTTCTTTGTTTTGCAAAATGGAATGAGATCCTCTTGTGCACACTTACTTGCATTCTTCTTTAACCAGTCTATTAGCAATACTTATCAACACTGATTCGTTGCGTTTTGCTATATTTTCAACGATGATCTTGTCACTGTTGGGACTGTGATCCACCAGTGCTTTGCAAATACTTGTGTACTCCTGTAGCACAACAACTGCAGATTTCTTTCCACTTGGGTAAAAAATATTCACCTAAAAATAAAATTCATCCCATTGAAATGTTCCAAATAATAGGAATAACTTATTTGTAGCCAAAATCAAAGAGTTCAACCTACAGCTGGTCTGTGTTGAAGTTTGATAACTTCATCATTTCTCTTTATCAATACATGTCTTTTGACTTATTCACATAGGTGGTTACATAGGATAAAATGCTAAGGAATTACAAGACAAAAAAACATCTTTTAATAAATCTGTAAATTATGTTACTTTTGATCACCAGACCCTTAAATATAAACAGGATCAGTCTAAATTTTTGTGAAGTTTAACAACTTCTATCTAGTCTTACAGACAAACCAATCTCATTCCAGAATTTGCATAAAATTTCTGATTTAGACAGACTAAAAAATTTATTTGTATCTTTACATTTTGAAATTCAAGCATGATTAAGTTAACTTATTGAAAACTAAATCTGTAGTGTTACTTTGCAATTGAATTCATGAAATAAACTGTTTCACATCATGTGGCATGTATTAAGATTTGAGCCTCACATCAAATCATCCAAGAACTGTTTTCATCAAGTCTTAGCACAACACTTGAATCCCTGGAGAAACAAATTAACATGCAGTATAAAATATTAGTTAATATCTGTCATTAGTAAACATAAGTATTAAATAACCAAGCTTCATTACTCTACATGCAATGTTCAAATATACCTCTCTTTTTCCATGAAGAATTTTAATAACAGTTCAAGTTCAACTTGAACAAGTGTAAAATCTAAAAGTTCTAACCCCCTTATAAAATCAGCAATCTAAATAAATGTATACGGCACTAGTAGTTATGTTCAAATTCAACAGTGTCTCCTTAATAAAATGAATTTAATTGATTTTCAAAATAGCCATGATAAAAAATATTATTTAGAGTAATCAGAGCTTGGATTAAAAAAAAAAACAAATTAAAATATGTTTGAAATCAATGAATGGAATAAACAGTACTTTAAACAACAAATATTTGGTTATATTTTGGATATATTTCATTCACTTTGCTACAAACTGACTGATTTGAAATGTGTCAGTCTGGATTGATTTATCATAAAAATGTTAGTATTGAATGGCTTTGCATATATTTGTACTACTAAACGATGCCAAGAAAATAAACAAACGGTAACAAAATTTATGAACTTAATTGAATAAGAAACATAATCTGCACTTTAAATTAAATCAACCTCAACAGATCCATCTAGAGGTGGCAATTTTTCACTAAACTCCAGTGATCTCTTCGATGACACTAGGTTTTTCTTCAATACATGTGGACTGGAATAAGCAATAGCAGCAAACACATTTGACTTGAATAGAGGTTTTAAGTCTGGTTATACTAAATGCTAGATATCATATACACTCAATTTTAGTTTTATAAGCATTTTATTATGAAATTATGTAATGTTTAATAAAGTATAACACCTTTCTTGTTGGTCACCAAATTTATCATAATACATACCCGGGTTTTCTTTAATATTGATAATGTTAATAGCTCTCTGCATCTGTGAATAGAAATGTTCAAATGAAAAAATAGTGTTAAGATAGTAAGCTAGTGCTCTACTAAATGTCAACTGAAATAAAATGATACGGGGGAGTGAGAATAAATTATATGTTAATGTGCTAAAACAAAATTGTTACCTCACACCGCTGTGGGACTTCCTTATTCCCGATCTCGCAAAAGGGGGTTAATTTAACAGGCGAGATATACGCCACTGCGACAAATAATTTTGCCTGACGACTGGCGTCTCCAGATGGGTCTGGGCTCCGAAGCATTCTTTTGGTGATGGATTTCCGTCTAGGAGATGGTAGTGACAATATCTGATTTCTATATACCTGACCTAAGCTTTGTCGAAGTTTCTCTTTTGCTGCATTATTTTGCTCCTCTGTTTTAATTATGCTTTCCACGGACCTGTAGCACTTTCTACAAATACCCGCGTTACTGCAACTTTCGAGGTCGAGTGAAGTTTCGGTTACCTTTCTGATGCACTCCACTCTCTCCTTATTTAATCGTAACTTAGTGTCATAAATTTGTGAATGTTCTCTTTTCCATCTGCCGTTTTTTCAAATAGTACAAAAGAAAATCCACAAATATTGCACATATCTCCTAAAATACATGTTTTCCGTGGCGTTATGAACTGCGCCATTTTTTATTTTTTTTTTTTTTTATTTTTTTTTTTTTTGCGTTTGTAACTCCTCGGTACATTACGTTAATCGAAGGTAAACCCAGAGAGTTCCGACTAATCAGCCAAGAATTCGGAAACCGCGATTTCATTGGCTAATAGAAAGTTCAATATGAGATGACCTCTAATGGGGAGTTGTTAGATCCTTACAGCGACATAACAAAATACGGGAGCGTAAAGGGTCTAATTTTAATTAGATTGATCTTTAAATTTACACTAAGGATGCTTCAGTATTTCTTTGAATATTAATGTCTTTATAAGATTTTTTAAATATTATTTTCGTATAAGTTTTATGTTTTATCTTCTATTGCCCCCCCCCCCCCCCCGTTCTTGAGAAAAGGATTTTTAATGATCTTTCCTATATATTCCTATGAAGAAAAATGATCTCCCATTGTGGCCCCACCCTTCCATCAGGGATCAAGATTTGAACAAACTTGAATCTATCCTACCTGAAGATGCTTCAATATTCACATGACGAATCATGGATTTGATGTTCTTGAGAAGATTTTAAAAGATTTTTCGTATTTATTCCTATTTAAAACTGATAATTCATTAAGGCCCCTCCTGACCCTAGGGGTCATGATTTGAACAAATTTGTATCTACACTACCTGTCAGGAGAATGCTCCCTTGTATGTATAAATAAGACCAATCATAGCTGTGCTGTTCTTGAGAAGATTTTTAAAGATTTTTCCTATGGATTTCTATGTAAAACTTTGATCCCCCATTGTGGCCTCATCCTACCCCGGGAGTCATAATTTGAACAAACTTGAATCTTCAATACCTGAAGATGCTTCCATATAAATATGACCAATCATGGCTTTGCTGTTCTTAAAACTTTGGTTGCCCATTGCAGCCCCGTCCTAACCCCAGGGGTCATGATTTGAAGAAATTTGAATCGCCACTTCCTAAGAATGCATCCACATAAATTTTATCTTTTGTTGCCCACTGGTTTTTAAGAAGATTGTTAACGGTGCCATTAAATTTTCACTGATACGTAATTGTCTCCCCTTGGATGAAGGCATGGCCTTCATTTGAAAAAAAAAACAAACAAACTCGAACCTCCTTTAGCCAAAGATATTTTGTGGCAAGTTTGATTAAAATTGGCACAGTGGTTCTGGAGAAAATGAAATTGTAAAAAGTTACTGTTGACAACGACGAACAACGAACAAATTTTGATCAGAAAAGCTCACTTGAGCCTTCGGCTCAGATGAGCTAAAAATGAGATAGTTTCGTTGCATGTAGTAATCTAAGTCTGAAAGCTTCGCCCAGTGTATTACTTAGCCACATACAACGAAAAGGCAGTTCTGTCACGTGATGAGCAAATGGCTTTACGAAGATACTGTGTTATCTCGGACCAATCTCTACCCAGAGTTATCGTTCCCGCTACGCTCCACTTATACCTCTGTCAACGTCTAAAAAAGTAGTACGGAAGGCGGAGACGCGTGTCCTTTATCGGCGTAATACGCCCTCTGGTGAGAGATTGATCTCGGACTAAAAATATTCGAAAATGTAAATATTAAAAACATAGGACACATCAAAGCACCATAGAATTCAATTAAAATATATGGAAGTAATTTTTTTTTTCTCACTTTTTTGAAATAGTACTATTTTATCAATGGAATTCATTGGTGTTTGCGTTTTGTTAATTCTTAATTAATCTTGAATCTATCTTCTAAACTTTCGATAATTTCAGTTGATCGAAGGTATGGATTATACTTTTTGTTTTTGGACAACTAAATTATTCAGTTGAAATCATACATTTGTCGGTAACATTTTTCTCTTGGATATGCTTTTTAAACCCATTTGCTTTACATAACCGCACAATCCTTCACTAATCATTCAATATTTAAATGGCCATCATTTTGTTCAAAACAATGATATAAATAATTTTTTGTTCGGTATGACGGCGTGAGGACTTTATGTTCGGTCCATCTCAATAAACATTGTATCTTTTTACTGAATAATAGCTATATTCTAAACCATACACACCGTTCACGGTAGCTCAGTCGGTAGAGCGCTCGCTCCGTGATTGGGAGGTCGTTAGTGCGAATATCGGCCGCGACTGACCTAAGTCAATAAAAAATGTGTAGCAACTGTTCCTTTGCTATGCACTCGGCACTTAGAAGTGAAAGTTGCGGGTCCTTCGGATGAGACCTTAAAAACCGAGGCCCCGTGTCACGGCAGGCGTTGGCACGATAAAGATCCCTCACTGCTCAATGGCCCTGAGTGCCCAGTAAAGGTCAAAATTTGAAGCCCTTTACCGGTATATGGTGACGTCTCTATATGAGTGAAAAATTCTCGAATGGGACGTAAAACAACATACAATCAATCAAAGCATACGGAATTCAAGCCGAAGGAAGAAGATAGGCTGATTCAATACATTTTCAATGATTCAAAAAACAAGGTTAACGTAATTATTTTTCTAAAATTTCGTTCATAATTTATCGCATGAAATAATTGTAGTGATAAATATCTGCGTGCAAATGAGTTCTGTTTCTTGAAAGACGGAAGACAAAAATAGAGAAAATATATATTCAAATTAATTTCTCTTCACAATTTTATACCGATATAACCATGTTATCATAGTCAATTAATGAAATCATTCTTGTAAATTAAAATTTAACTTGGGAAAAATAATAACATTCGACGAACAAAAAAAAGTCCAAACTTCTCATCTTTTTAATTTATTCGTGTCTAAAAAAAATTGACTTCAGAAAACTCTACGACCGGGCGAAGTTGCTTCAGGAAGGGTGTCTCTATTACAAAATATATCTTTCAGCCGTAGCTCAGTCGGTAGAGCGCTCGCTCCGTGATCGGGAGGTCGTGAGTTCGAATCTCGGCCGCGACTGACCTAAGTCGATAAAAAATGCGTAGCAACTGTTCCTTTGCCATGTACTTGGCACTTTGAAGTGAAAGTTGCGGGTCCTTCGGATGAGACCTTAAAAACCGAAGCCCCGTGTCACGGCAGGCGTTGGGACGATAAAGATCCCTCACTGCTCAATGGCCCTGAGTGCCAAGTAAAGGTCAAAATTTAAAGCCTTTCACCGGTTTATGGTGACGTCTCTATATGAGTGAAAAATTCTCGAATGGGACGTTAAACAACATACAATCATAATCATCTAAACCATACACTGTGGTTACATTTCTGTGATTTTACCGAGCTTTCAAGAAATAGTTACATTTAGGTTATATAGTAAAATATGTCGGTTCAGTACGTTATTAGTCCTTTACCAGTGAAACCGAATGAACCGTTTCCTGCCTGTCTGTTAGTCTATCTGTTTTTATTGTTTTTACACGCTTGCAGATACTGTGATATTTGGTACCTAAATCTTCCATGATGATTAGATCAAGTTTGCATTTCGATCCGCTTCCATTACACCCTTTGGAATTAGAGCATTCATTCTTTAAGGGAAACCTCACTTATCGGTAGCTGACCAATATGGTTAATGCAATACTCTCAGAATGCTCCTTTAAATTTCAGTCAGATAAATTACTGAACAAAGAACAAATAGAGCAAAAGATTTTCATATAGAGACAATTAATATTAACGACTGTAATAAAAATGTCACAATATACAAGTTTCATAAAAAATGATTCAATTTTTTCAATGCCTAAACATATCAAAATTTACATTGTCGAAGTTATATTTTGGGTGAATGTGTGTGTTTTCGCGTAAATCTTAACATTACCGACTTCACTTGATTAGAATTTTTTTTTCTGGAAGTGTCTTAGGTTGGTCATGGACATCTGTGTCACATTTAGTTATCCTCTATTTGATAAAAGTCGGTATTATCCTACACATGATAACACTTTATGTTCGAGACTTTGTGCTGGTCAACGTGCGAATGCCTGAAGAAACGGAAAGAAACCTGTGGGGGCCCTAAGATTCTTCCTTTAATCCTAACATATCTTCATTTGTTTAAGCTGTTAATCTTGACCAGAAGTATGTCAACCAGTAACTAATTGAATTTTTTAAATAAAAAAAAAATATATAGAAACAAAGAAAACAATTAAAGACAATGTTATAGTAGTAATTTTAGAATATTACTTCCCTTTTGGTGCCCAACAGTTCCATGAGGACATTATGAAACCTTTGAGAGTCACATTTTTGAATCCGATGCTGTTCCATGTTATATAAAATTGCTCTTTGCCTTACATAAAGGATGGGTACTATAAAACTTGCAAGATTTTGAGCATTACTCAGTTCAATTCACACCACATAGAACTAGTTAAAACTCAAAATGATTGCCTACCTAACTTTGGCTGTGATTGTGCAGAGTGCTTTCGCTGGAAATCTTGTGGAAGTTCTTCAAAACGACGGGGAAACAACTTTAATTGCTCTTGTACAGCAAGCAGGATTAGCCGATGCTCTGTTAGGAGGTACGCTAATAATCATTTAAGATGAAAAACGAGTAAAGTAGTTACAAATTTATGACAAATGTTAGAACCAAACTCACTTCTTTAACTCTGGTAACAATGATTACAGATAAGAATGTTTGTACCACTTCAATTTGTAAACAAAAAAAATCATCGTCGATTATCAGAAGTTTCTCTCTGGTAAAACTGTCATTCTGACGATGTTTACAACATATTTCAAATGTGTATTAACGATAAAGAAAGACATTTTATCTCAAGAAAGATTTTTTATAAACTACTGGTATCAGTACATGTATGTTCTTTTCAGGGGAATTCACTATTTTTGCTCCGACAAATGCTGCTTTTGCCAAACTTCCACAAGCTACACTTGATAGTCTTTCAAAGGACACCACAGCTCTGGCCAACATTCTGAAATATCATGTGGTCAAGGGATCCATCCACAAAGCTGATGCTTCTAATGAGCTTCAGTTGGAGACTCTGGCGGGAACCAAAATCAGATTCAACATATACAGCCATAACCATGTAAGTCTAGGATATTTCTATTGTTAACTGCTGTTGGAAGAAAGAATGTTATAGGTTCAGAGTTAACTGAATGCAAGTACGCAAGACCGCCTTGTGGCATTGTTTTTGTCGTACTACAGAACTTTAGCATTGAGGTATACCAAAGAAAATGGACAAATAAACATGTTTTGAAATGCTTATCTTGAGCAGTGAAAATATCATTGCAATATGTTAATTTTTCACAATCTTTTAATTAAAGGTTGTGACAGTGGAAGGATCCAAAATAACCCACTTTGATCTCACCGCATCAAACGGAATGGTCCACGTTATCGACACCGTTATGATGCCCCCTGAAGGAAATATCGTCGACCTCGTGGCCGGCAACAGTGACCTCAGCACTCTCCTGTCAAAGGTGCAGACAGCTGGCTTGGCCGGAGCTCTACAAGGTATTAATTTTGCCTCATACTTTTTTCTTCGATTCTTAATGTCAAATTATGAGTTTGATAATAACTTTATAATATCTATTTGTGTACGATTTTAGGCGATGGACTGACAGTATTTGCACCAACAAATGCAGCTTTCGCTAGACTTGGTAGTCACGTTTTGGACAACCTTAGAAGAAATCCAAGACTTTTGAAAGGTACACATTTTGGAAAATTTTGAGGATTTAGTTATTTCAGAAAGGGATTTTTGCTTTGTCTTAAATCTTTCTGTATTTTATGAGGTTTGTTTCAATCTTTTAGAAATTCTTGAATACCATGTTGTTCCACATACTGAATACTCAGCTGGTCTTTACAACCGCGAATATGTCAGAACTCTTGATACTCACCATGACGTCATCAGACTCGGAGTCAGCAGTAAGTTTTATCCTATATTTCGTACATGGGCTTTTTACCTTTACAGATTTTGATTTCATCAAAAGAAATTATGGTAGTATGGAACATAGCTGAATATTTTGTTTTTACCTTCAGGTACCGGAGGTGTCACAGTTAATCGCAATGCCCACGTAACAAAAGCCGATATAAGCGCCACCAACGGAGTAGTACATATTATAGATCACGTGCTTATTCCTGCTCGTTATTTATTTTCTGCTATTCTTGGTAGGAAGTAATCATCTGAACAAAACATCATTATCTTACATTTTACCATCATATCGCACAGTTGTAAATACTTGTTTATATTTAATATTTTTGTTGAAGATTTATTGAGAATTGTTGTACAATAAATTTGTTTACAAATGAAAATGACTTTCGCTTCTTTTATATGAGTGTCAGATTTTCAATTGTAATTTGCATGAAAGTATATTGCCAAGGATACTAAAGGTACTAATAAAAGAAGTATTAATGCAGTTGATATACATCTGGACTTAACAATAATACATTTGTAAAATACTTGAGAAAGATAATCTTAATCAGAAGCTTTGAATTCTGTTATTCAAACAATTCTGAATGCACAGAGTTCTGAACCATTTTCTAAAATACATGTAATAATAATGAAATAATAAATGAAATTAAATGTAAATAGAATGACATGCAAGGATCACTTAAATATACGGAAAAGCAGACGTGGTATAATTAAGGAATGGAAAAAATAGCATTCAGAAAAAAAAACACTCCTCCGCAACTCAATATTGTGAGAAATTAACTTAAAAACAATAGGTCAATGAAGGATAGTACTCACCTCTGTACAACTGTTTTGCCCAGAGTTGTGAAAGAAATCCGTCAGCGTGGCCTAACAATTAAAACACATGTTTTCCAAACGTTTATTCCAAGTATATTAATGTTAGATATGTAGGTTACAAAGTATCGCTTAAAGTGTAACTTCAGTGAGTAAATAAAACTTTGTACCCCTTTAAAGCACCACCTTGGTTACACGGGTTGTGACTCAAATGTACATGAAACTGCACTATATAACTATGGTTACTTAAAAATTAAACAAATTGATCGAAATTGTGTTTCTCATTTAAAAAACGTTATTTCCCAATATGTTAAAATGTAAATATCAGTTGTGACCCTGACAGCAGATCAAACACAAAATGGGAATGTTTGTATATTATGTTGACTGGTCAACTTCTGTAAAATATTAACCCACAAAATTTTTAAGAAAGCTTTGGTGACAAAATGTTGTCCCATTTCAACACATACAAAAAGTAAGAATTTGAAAACTATTGAATCTGCATAACTGGGTCGTTGTTCTTTTTTAGAAGAATTTTAAGAGGATAGTTCCTGACAAATTAATATGCAAAAACTTCAGTTTCTTGTATGGACTTTCCAAGCCTCGGAGGTCATGATTTTGTATAAAAAATTTACGTCTATCTGTTAATTTGATTTATTATTTATGGTCCTGTCAATTTCCTGTTCTTGTTAAAAAGGTCAATATAAATTAACTCTCAACATACATGTATTCCACTTCACTTCTGCCGTAGCCCTGTTCTATTTAAAATGAAGAGGATTATTTAAAGTTTAGGATTCTTGATTCTACTTTCAAAAAAGTTTTTAAATTCTTCCTACATTCAGTTACAGATGTATATTTAATTTTGAACGAACCAGGAGTCACAGATTAAAACATTGTCGTTTACATATAAATGCTTTTATATTGTTCTGAATAATACTGGCTTTTCTGTTTTTGAAATCATTTTAAATGTTTTCCCTGAATATAATAGTGTACAAAAACTTTTGCTACAATCTTGTCAATGTTTGAAGAAACTTGGATAAACATATAGACATGAATTATAGTAATTAACTTGACAGCTTACATTGCATAGCAGTGCTGTTCGTTAGGATATTTTGAAATACTTGTATTTTTCCCTGTATACCGAGATTATCTCTTAAGCAATGCTTTGACCACTCATCGTAGCCCAGTCCTAGGTGTTGGGGTAATATATTACAGAAATTTGAATCTTTTCTTTACAAATAAAATTTTTTTTCAATATCAACTCTTGTCTGAATACAATTGGTGATTGTAACCTAATAAGAATTCATCTACTGTGAATTATTTTCGATAATTAAAATCTCAGTACTTCTGTTTCTATAATGTTCTAGTCCATGGTTAAAATTACAATTTGTAACCTATCATAATTTAGAAAAATCAGCGTTCATGAAAAAATTATTTTATAATTTAAAAAAAAAAAACCCTCTCTCTCTCTCTCGGTGGTAACTGTAAGGCGTAATATAATCCTCGTGTGGTTCCAATGATTTTTCCTAAGGATTTTCCAAAACATTGACAGTATTCGTGTTTATTTATAAGTTGTGAAATTCTTTTGAGATTTAAAGCCAATTTGATAGAATGTATTTAGAGACAATGTGAACCGGCATTTTTAGTCCAATCGAAAATTAAATCTAGAAAGAGGGTATACAATGTAAACAAACGTACCTTTCTCAGTTATTAGTACAATAGGGGATTTTATAATATATTGTTTTTTTTTTCCACATTTCTCCAATGGTACTGATAAGTATGTCTAATATGTATAAAGTATGAAATATCCAAAGGAGCCGAGGATGAACAAGAGGCCCAAGGGCCTTGAATCGCTCTTCTGATAAACTGTACAACCTATCACTTCTATTTGAAGCCTCTTAGTATCCTGTATATTTAGATAAAGCGTTGAAATTCCAAAGTTATGTCATCATGACCTACATTTTAGATGAAACACTCTGAGAACCCAAGATGATTCTAAGCCAATTAGTACCTGAGAGTAGGTCATGGTGACCTACTTATCACTTGTCATTCTCTGAGGACTCATGATGCATCAACTAAGTTTGATGATTCTAAGCCAATTAATACCTAAAATATTTATAAAATTATAACCATAAAATTTCAAAAGTAGGTCACGGTGACCTACTTTTCAGTTGTCGTACTCTAAGGACCCAAGATGCATCAACTGACAAAGTTTGATGATTCTAAGCCGACTAGTACCTGGAATATTTAATTAAAGCCATAAATTTTCAAAAATAGGTCACGGTGACCCACTTTCCAGTTGTCGTACTCCGAAGACCCAAAATGCATCAACTGACAAAGTTTGATGATTCTAAAACAATTAGTACCCAAAATATTTTATTATAGTCATATCAATTGAAAAGTAGGTCATGGTGACCTACTTTTCAGTCGACCTACTCCGAGGACCCAAGATATATCAACTGACAAATTTTGTAAATTTTAAGCCAAATAGTACCCAAAATATTAAATACAGCCATAAAATTTCAAAAGTAAGTCACGGTGACCCACTTTTCAGTTGTCATACTCCAAGGACCCAAGATGCATCAACTGACAAATTTTGATGATTCTAAGCAAATTAGTACCTGAAATATTTAATTATAGTCATATAAATTGAAAAGTAGGTCACGGTGACCTACTTTTCGGTTGACGTTTTTTGGGGACCCAAGATGCATCAACTTAAAAGTTTTATTATCAAAGGCCTTAAAATGTCCAAATTATGCCTCTAAAACGCTTTGAAATCGAATGCCTGCAAAGTTCAAAAAGTAGGTCACTGTGACCTACTTCTCAGTAAATGTTGTATGACCCCAAGATGCATCATTTTACAAAATTTTATGATTCTAAACCTCTCGGTATTCGAATAAATGACCTTAATTGTTTTGAAAAAGATTAGCCATAAAATTTTGATGATCATAGACCTTAAATTGTTCAAAATATGCTTCTAAATCATTTTGAAAAAGAATGGCCGCAAAATTTAAAAAGTAGGTCACCGTGACCTACTTTTGAGTCAACATGATATGAGGTCCTTAGATGCATCAACTGACAAGATTTGATGATCCTAATCCTCATAGTAACCAAAAAATTAACATTTTAATTAAATTGAATTTTTAGAAAAACTTTGGCAGTATAACTTTTAGCCTCTGTCAGGATGGCTCATTAACTCTAATTTATAACAGGCCAGGGATTTTTTTTTTTTAAAAAAAACCACTCTTCGTGAAGGAAGGAAAATCATAAGTTTTGCCGCATTTCTGATATTCTCACACTGTGAGAATACCATTTTGATATCCTTTCACACTGTGTCAGAATATCACTTTTATTCAGTAAATAAATTACAGTATTTCACTGATGAAAATGTAATAAAACTTGACATTGTATACATAACTAATATCATTTATGAATATACATGTAATGCACATCTTAACTGGGTTGTGGGATGTGGAATCGTTACAGTGATTTACAAAATTTTCATTATGTGATTTACTTACATGCAAGCACACTATACCATTTTTTAACAGGTTTAGTGTAAACTTTATATCAAAATGTTTAAAGGTGCTTAGACACAGATTTGAACTTAATATTTTCTCAAATTTTCTGTATAATTTCACGGCTTAAATATTCCAATAGCATTTCACACGAAAATATAATTAAAAACTTATTTTATCTAGAAATTATTGGAACTACGATCCCGGGACGCGTTTGATAAACACATCTTTGCACTTGCACAAAATTTAACTTTATCCTTAATATTTAAGAAAAGAAGCAATTTTTTTTATGTATTAATGAAAAATATTACATCTATAATCCAGAAAATTCAGAGTAGAAATGTTCGAAAGCAAAACCAACTCAGCAGTATTGTCAGTCCGTGCTCTGTGATGTGTACAGAGTTTAACAAATTGAACACACCCGTGAAACGTAAACTGTTTCTGCAAACAGGACACGAGCTCTGTAATTGT